CTCATACTGCCTTGCTACTCATACTGCCTTGCTACTCATACTGCCTTGCTACTCATACTGCCTTGCTACTCATACTGCCTTGCTACTCATACTGCCTTGCTACTCATACTGCCTTGCTACTCATACTGCCTTGCTACTCATACTGCCTTGCTACTCATACTGCCTTGCTACTCATACTGCCTTGCTACTCATACTGCCTTGCTACTCATACTGCCTTGCTACTCATACTGCCTTGCTACTCATACTGCCTTGCTACTCATACTGCCTTGCTACTCATACTGCCTTGCTACTCATACTGCCTTGCTACTCATACTGCCTTGCTACTCATACTGCCTTGCTACTCATACTGCCTTGCTACTCATACTGCCTTGCTACTCATACTGCCTTGCTACTCATACTGCCTTGCTACTCATACTGCCTTGCTACTCATACTGCCTTGCTACTCATACTGCCTTGCTACTCATACTGCCTTGCTACTCATACTGCCTTGCTACTCATACTGCCTTGCTACTCATAATGCCTTGAAGAAGGGTTCGATAAAAATCATTAAATGCGCTCTTTTATATATGTACATAATCTTAAAGAAAAATGGGATTTGTTATGACATGCACAAAAGCATGAAAATAAATTTGAAATATGTTTCTCTGCTTAAAACATTTTCCATCTTATTAAAAGGAGGAATGAAAAGCGTTATCTTGGCCAGGAGAAGTTTTTTAGCGGAAAACGCCTGAGGGCTAGTATTAGGGAACCATTATTGAGGGCAAAATAAAGTTCTTTTTTATATCGATATCAATGAAATACCGCATTTTAAAAGCAGGATATCTTCACCCCCCGCGATCAGTGTGCTTCTTGTAACTTCCCATGTGGAGATAACGATGTCTTTTTGGTTACCAACATATGGCGAGCTTTTTTAACTTTACCATACTTGCTGAGGCTTGATTCATTTTTGTTTAATAAAACGTAGAAAGCTTGTGTTATTTTCACGCCGAAGGTTGAAATAGCCTCTCTGCAAGCACGATTTTCATGAGATTTATTTTTACATCTGGTGCTCTCGTTAATATCTTTTTGATAAGAGAAACATTTATTTTCTCTTGTTGAATATGTTTTTCACCCACGTGCGGCCATGGATGCGATATCTTGTAGATATCATGGTGATAAATTATCAAAGTCTTCACGATGTGTTAACTTTAAACATGCATTATCCTCTTTTTTGTGGCTACTGCAGAGATGCCGCCTTTATAATAGGAGGCGAAGCTACCATATTTTATCTTTGTATTTCGCGTGACAAACATTTCGCTGCGTTCTAAGGAAAAGTGCTACCTGTCTTTCTTAATAGCTTCGTCGTCTTGTTAATTGTTGACTTTTGAGTATGACATACATGAATACATGTGGTGCCTCTTACGTGCCAGCTTGAAAATAATAATTTGCCGATACCCTGCTGTTAAAAGGAGAACGATTTCCGATAGTCAGTTCTTTGTAAACATTAACGACCTTCACATGAGTTTTTACAATTATATTTTGTCTGAAAACTGCTATTGAGTTTCCTTTCCGCGGATATTGAAAAACGATTATAAAGGACTTTTCGACAGTGCAAGCCGGCTTATAAATCTGAATTAAAATTGTGTTTGTGTTCGATCTTTCCTAGAAATAATTTATGAACGTAACATATTGAGGGTGTCATGTATGACCTACATTGTGTTATAACTCATAGGAATACACAAAAGTGAACAGATGCAAGAGACGCAGTTCAACCCTCTGTATATTTTGTTTTCTTAAGTGATGTTACGAGGATTTAAGCGCGTGATGTACCACTAACACTAAAGGCCGAAATTCAAATAATCGTAAAAGCTATCTGTTTTACCTCCACTGAAAAGGAAGTTATTTTGAGTTGTATAGAACTTTGGTGACTCCAAATGTCGGCTTCATTAGAAATGTTAACTACTAAACAGCTAAAATGATTAAGCGCGGTGGACTTTATTTGCAGAAACAGTGTTGCTGCTTGCTGTTGAAAACAATTGATGTTGTCTTTGTTTTATATATGCCATCTATCGTCAACAGGAAAAGTAATAACAAACAGTTGTTTTAATGATATGACAGTTTATAAGGGAATATTAATATGAGGTTAAATTCAAATTTTTATTTAATGCACTTTTTGTAGATAGAAAAGTTTTTTTTCTCAGTCCAGTATTATGGAAACATCTATTCAAAAGCCACACTAAATGTACGTTTAATCTGTATCCTGATGCCAATAAAATTCAAATATCGTTTAATGTTCACAGTGCAGAGACAACATATTTGTTTTTTTTTTTTAGCCTTTTTTTAGTCTTGCGTTAGGTCTATAAAGGAAAGCATCGCACAGCGGAGCTCCTGGTATAAAAAAAAAAACGTTCCCATAGCAAGCAGAATTATTTTCCCGAGGTCAAATTTGCTTTTAGCAAGAAATGCGTGCTGTTAATCACCATGAGAAAATACGATGCCATATTGTCGCCGAGAAAAAGTTGAATTAATGTCAGTTTCAATCTTCATTTTCAAATGATTGTGGCTCGCAAAACTGATTGAAATAAATTTTTTCCATTTTCAGTTTTTTCATCCATGACCTACTGTGAAGTCTAGGATTTCAGTTAAGAAGAAAACAAATAAAGTTGGTGCTCGTAGGGTTTCTAACAAAAGAAGTCCGAAAGTCTTAGTTTTCGAGAAAATATATATTAAACAGAGCTTTGTAAGCAAGCGCTAAACCTTCGGTAACTGGGGCAAGTCATCAATTTTCAACAAGTTTATTTTATGTGCTTGTTCGTACCTCAGCTGCTCGTTTAGTTTTATGTTTGAGTGTTCGGCCGCAAGTTGGCCATCTTTAGAACGTTGCTCGTTAAATAAACTTAATACTTCTATTGCGGATTGACTCTGTTAGTTTTTATCTGGTGCATATCAAAAAAAAAAATGCTTACGTTTATGTGATTTTTCAGTTACTTTTCAGCCTAACTAGGCAGTTGCCTAGATTAAAATGAGAAATTTTTACAGCTTTCTAATCGAAGTATTCCGTGTTTTGAAATTGTAATTCCGACCCACGGGCTCTAAATTGTTATTGCGCTTCAATATGGACAACTTCACCAAAGTTCACTTTTCTTGTTGTTACTTGAAGGACTTCATTTCTATCATTAATACCTTCATCGATATCTTCTCCGTCTTTCAATGGCTGAAATCGTTCATTTTTGAATGAGACACGATATTCTTTCGCTTCATGGTTAGGAATTAGCTCTTTACACCAGTAGCTGTTATTCCAAAATACTCTTCTTGCTGTGTAAGCGCTTCGTGGTGTCGCAGTCTGCATCGTGTAAGGTAGATGGTTTGTTTTCCTTCGTGAGGGCCGCTTTCTTCTCCGCGAAATTTTGCTTTTTCTGTAGATGTTCGCGTCGCTGCAAGTCTCTTGCGATCGAAACTTCAAGCATGAAATCACCAGGATTTTCACAGCGCCACAAGAGCTAAAAATACCTCGGCAATACCGTCTGTGCAGAAATACAAATATGAACGGATTAATGGCTGAGTTTGAGTAGACCAAGATATAGCAAAAATTGATTATGATATCGAAGTATCGGAGACCCTCTTCCGAGCCAAAATCTTTCCAAATCCACATGATATGGTTGGGTAACATACAGAGCGAAAAGGCGATCACCGCAATTATAAATATCCTAACGATTCTCATATTGCGCTGAGCTCTCGCCTGCGTGAGTGGCTTTTTGCTATTGCGTTTTTTTTCGCCAATAGCTTTGTGCATTCTTTGTATGTCTCTCCAGAGCTTTTGACTGATCCGTATGTAGTTGGCGGTGATCACAAAAAGTGGCAACACATATAGAGCAATAAAAACTGCCAGAGTGAATACTTTGGGATGGTTTTTCGTGGGCCAGTTTTCCATGCACTGCGTTACACCATCGCTGGTTTCAACTTTAAGAATGGCAATGTACGGTCCGACCAAACTGATGCTAGCAGTCCAGAGAATAAACACTATCACAACTGCTCTTTTCGCTTTTATTTTTGGCTTCAAAGGCGGAATAACTGAACGATGTCTCTCCCAGCTCATGAAAAGCAGCGTGTAAACAGACACGGCCATCAGAATGGTTTGCAAAGGATACACGATTTTACAAAGAACGTTTCCAAAGGGCCACTCTCTCATTAAACTTTCGACAAAGTCAAATGGTATACTTATTACGCAAGTTGCCAAGTCTGTTGCGGCCAAATTGAGGACGAAAACATCAGTGATACGCAAGCGGCGTCTTTTATAAACAGCCAAGCAAATTAGGGTATTTCCTATCAAACCAGCAGCGGTGATTATAGAGTAACACATCAGTTGTACGATGGCTAGTCGATCGAAACCTTCCATGGAAGTTGTGCTTTTGTTAGTCGCAAATTGCTCCGTTAGGTTTAAGGTGGAAGACATGTTAAACAAGAGATTAGTCGCAGAATCACCGCTTCGAGCTTCAAACTCGGACGATTTCATCCCGCGCTGTTTCACTGTCACTATCAGCTAAAAGAGGTTTACGATCAATTTATGTGTCGAATTAAGAAGCGGTTTTGCCGCGAGTGTGACCTGAATGGTGGCTACTAATATTGAAATTGTTCTTATCTTGACGTGAAAATAAATGCTTCATGGCCATCTGTCTTCAGATTGAATAGCATACAATCCCCACTTAATAATATCGACTCAGCAGCCGGGCGAATAAAAAAGGCTGCATCTAATGTGTTTTGGAAGTAGCTTTTATCATATGCATGAGTTCAGTTGTGCTCCGAAAACAGTATTAAAATGCATTCATATGAAGAGAGCAAAGGCACTGTTTGGTAAGCATCCAAGAGCTGTTGAAGTTTATGTCCCCATATCCCAAAATAAGAGATAACAGAAGTGCCGCAACTTGCAAGAAAAACAAAGACCATTTTCATAATAAGTTCGAAATAAGTTTTGTGACAGTTACTTCTGAAGGATTTAGAATGTTATCAAATTTTACTGTTTATCGCCTCGGAAGAAAAAGTCATTGAAAGATCGGAAGACACGACTCATAGACAACACAGGAGATTTAGAATTGATTTAGGAAAACGAACTGACTTTTTTCACGACAATCTACTGAAATTCATATTCATCTGAGGAGCTATGTTTCACATCCCACTGAGTTAAAGAAACGAACAGTCCGTTGTTGACAAAGGTTTAGACAAGGTGTCTAAACTTGAAGTTTGTCTCTGTTTCGTCCGTAGAAGAACAGGAAGGCGAAACTAAAATGATTACTTGAGGTCTCTTCCATTTTTCACGATTAAATCGCTCTTTGACATCACTTCCTCAACTACCTCGTAATAAAGTACACTAACGGAGATGTACTGTTTCTTTATTTTTGCATGGGCTATTTGTCGTGTTTTACAATGATATATCATAATTCACATGGTACATAGCACAGGAAATTTATTTTTCCTCCGAGAATTAATGCCTTATTAATTGACTCCAAATATATGTTTATTTCTGACAAAGCTCTTCGCGGATGCAAGGCGTAAAAGCAGTGGGCGTATGAAAACAAATGTTACTGTTTTTGTACGTTTTGCGCACGTACTTGCTGGGTATCCTAGGTTTTTGCGAAAGCAGCCGAAGGCATATATCAAAATATTTTTAATACGTAGAGTGAGATATTTCAACCGATGAGATAAAGATGGTGTAGCTACAGAAATTCGGACATTCAGAAAGAAAAAGTTGTTAAGAGCCTTTCTTGCATAGAAATTTAAAAACAACATTATGTCGTCATCTTTGTGTTTTCTTCATTGGGTCTTGACAACTGAGAAGTGGGACTTTTTTTTCAGGGTGGTAAAAAGTGTTTTTGAAGGCGTTTCCTTCTATTTTCCTTTTCAGATTCGCTAATTGCAAGCCGGCCAGCGATAATAACTCCTTGACAGCGGGAAATGTTTCCTGTTTTCAGCGGGAAACGCAATGAAACACGCAAAAGATTGTGGGCCTATATTTCCATATAACGTGGGAGAAATGAGTAGAAGAAAATTTATTTTGTTTGAGGTTCAAAATGTAATCCAAAGAAATTTGCCTCAAATATTGGAATACTGTCGCAATTTTGGCAAGTTTTTCAATTATGCACTTGCTCAGAGTTTTATCAAATTTTTTCCTAACCCGAACTTTGTATGCAAAGGGATATTATAGTAAATGGCGTCAAACTCCTTGTTTATCATCACATGTTTTTTAAGCTTGGTGTTTAAGTAGGGGGGCATTGGGGCCACTGGGAAACCGAAAAACCGACGAAAAAAGGCAGCAAAACCGAAAACCCCATGCAAACCTGACAAAACCGCTACATTTTCACCTATAAAGGGGTCAAAAAGGAAAAACCGAAAAACGCATCAGAGTTTACGTGAAAACCGAAAACCGAATGCGAAAACACGTAAAATCCGCAAACCGCTCTGAACATCAAAACCGAAAATTAATCGAACCTTTTTGGCCCAAAAACCGAAAAACCGATTAAAAAAACAGTCAAAACCGCAAAACCGAAAATCCCAAAGCCCCCCTCTTTAAGTACCGTCTAGTTTGTATCACAAACCCAATGAGAGGACACAGAGATCACGAGATCATTTTTGCGTAAAAAAATAGAAGGGTATATAGATTTTTTTGTGATAAACCCGAGGCGATTTCCACGTACTTATCAAAATAAAAGGGCATCTGTTACCGTCTGCCAAAGCCAATTTTATCAACAAAGAGTATTTGTGATTTCCGACGCAGAAAATTTTGTCCCCAGTCTATAACAGCTGACAGTGATCACGCCACAATTTGAGAACGTGTCAGTACATATTTTGATCCTCGTTTATTTTCCCTTCGAAGGCGCCTTCTAAAGTCAGCTCAGGTGCCACCCACCCCTGTGATTAAGTGTCTCTTGCAAATAACAAGGAACCCATCATGATGATCCCAGTTTGGGCCTTGACTTTTTGAGGAACTGAGGAGAGATGGTAAAGTTTCTTCTACTGTGTTTTTCGTTGGGGGGGGGGAAGACTTCCCAATCGCATCTCGGTTATATTAGTTGAAATGAGTACTCCCCCCTCCCCTGAGGCCAAAAAGCCTCCAATTTTATTTGAAGTGATGAACAAAATATTAAATAGCTTTAAATTCTTGGTTTTTTGTCAGGTATGCAGCACCAGGATTTTTTAATTTTACCTTTATTTCAAATCTAATCAGAAAACATAAATCTAAGATGACCGTATTTGGTGATAAAAGTAAGTTTTTATTTTCAATATTCCTTTTAAGCTCGAGACTAGTGTCTGGGTTTCCATTAAAATATCAAATTAAAGGGCATCTGTTACTAGAAAGGCCTCTTTTAGCGACAAAAATCGTAACTAATTTCTAATGCAGAGCATTTCCACCTCGGCTCTGCAATCCCGTAAAACATCAGTAAATTCTTTCATTTACCTTTTGAGGTGCTTAATTTTGTCTTTTGACATTTACATCAAGGAATTCATTCTCCTGTGCGCCTCCTTTCTTTATTTAACAGGTTTATTTATTTATTTTTATACCCTTTCCACATAAAATATTTTGAGCTATCCTTGGTTTGTAAAGTGAAGTATTTTGAGAAATGTTCAATTGTTAGGGTTTCACAGCATGCCATAAGTTTGAAACTTCAAAAAACAATCCTTGTAGTGTCAAAGTCGTTGGAAACATACTTCTTAAAAATAAAAAAGGAGGAGGCGGCCTAGCTGAGTGGTTAGGCGGAGGAGGTGACGTGACTGAGTGGTTAGGGTGCTGGACTTGAATCCGGTGTCCTGGGTTCAAGTCCTTCACCCTGCCACTCACTGGATTTGTTCTCAGTTGTCCCCAGTTCAACTCCTCAGCTGCACTCTGTAAATAGCCCACTGGTCTGCCTTCTGCTAGTGGAAATTTTTAAGCTCTTAGTCTACATTGTGTCTGTAAAGCCCCTAAGGGGGAGCTTCAATTAACGTATATTATTATTATTAGTATTATTATTATTTTCATTCTTCCACATGAAAAACTCCAATTTGATTTATTCCAAATTATGAAGCAACCTGGACACTATAACATCAATCTGCAAAGATTCAACTGTCAAAAACAGACCTGTAACCATCTTAACTGTATTTCTACATTAACACTTGTTTCTTTTTAGGTTGGTGTGCTAYCAARGTACCTTTAACCCTTTGACCTATAAGACTGACCAACATCTAATTTCTCCTATCAATACCCCCCTCCCTGATTCACACACTAAGGTCACATGAATAAAGGAAGTGATCACCAACTAAAGAAGCCCTTGATTGTTAAATAAATTCTCCTTGTCAGCACCTTAGGAAATGTATAGAGCACAGTATGGAGAAAATGGCTACCACAGTAGGTAACCACTACAGTTACACAAACCCCTTGAAATGCAATTAAGATACTATTTCAACCTTTTCAAAATTTTTTCAAAAGTTCTTTGAGTGAAACTGGCTCTGTAAATTTTGCATGGTCCAAATTTGTGAACCAGGGTTTGATAATGGTAGCTGTTGTGTCCTCCTCCCACTCTTGTACATACTCCAGAAGCTGCTTCAGTTGCAGTTCAGAATCACAGTTCTGATGACATGACTTGATGTCTTCAGGCTCTGACACTCTTATCTCAAGAACATGACATGTATAACCAAAGGCTTGACCAAGACACCTGTACACTGCATACTCCCAACACTTGGCATGGACATCATCCACTACAACAAAGGGGCATAAATTTGCCATAGCAACCAGGAAACAAGAGCGACAGTAAGCCTCGGCAATGTTTAGTTCACAGATATCTAAGGCCAAAGCACCTTTCTTGTGAAACAACTGTCTTGAATTACAGTATGTAAATCCACCTGGTTCTCTAGCTTCTTCCAAGTTTTCAACAAGATGTGTCTTTCCACTTCCAGGAATACCTCTCAATATCAGAAGCACTCTTTCCATATCTTGAACAGAGTTTCTGAGTTCTGTCAGTCTTGCAAGACCCATATCCATTTCTGTGGCATTCCCAGACTGAAAAAGTGCTTTGATTTTATTTCTTTCATCTTCACAAATTTCCTTGTTTCCAAACAAATGATCGGCATATTGGCAGAACTTTGTTGGCAAGGTGGAAGACAGTACCTTCAAGGAGTTTTCCACTGCTAAAATCTTCTGATGAGTACCATCAACAGTTTTTGGCAGATATTTGGAGAACAGAATGAGAGAGTCTACAGCCTGTTGTCCAATTTCAAGGTTAGATTTCATTGTCTCTGCCAACTTTCTCAGTAACTCATCAGTTAATGATCTTCCCCTCATGACAGTTAGATGAGGTACAAATTGATCACGGTTTCCTTCCAAACTTATTCCAGCCTTTCCAAATTTGAATTTCAAAGCTTGGACAATTTTCAACAAACTGTCATCAGGATCAACTTTGGCGTAAAGAATTCTGTTGTGAAACTGTCCAAGACCATTGATTTGCAATTTATGGCTGAGTGGAAGAAAGGACACCAACAAAGGTTGGATTGACTTGAGAATGTTCTTAGCAGTGGTCACATCATCTTCATTCTTCAGAGTTAACATCAGCAAAGTGATGTGTAGGCTTTGACTTGATGTTTCTTCATACTCTGCTTCTTGCCCAAGCTCTAGTTGGATCTTATTTTGGATCTGCAAAAACAAAGGAAATTTTATTAAAACCTCTGGATCCCGGCTAAAGCGATTAGAAATGTAATTTTGCCTTACAGTTTTCAAAGCATAATTCAGCAAAAAGGTCAATACATATATCTTATTAACCAAGCGCGAGGGCCGTACTGGGAGAATATTGGCCTGAGGTCTTGACAGTACGGACCGAGCGCAGCGAGGTCCGTACAAAAAAGACCGAGGGCCGATATTCTTCCAGTACGGTCCCGAGCAAGCTTGGTTAATAAGAGATTTATTATACGACTGAAGTTCAAAGGGACACAAGTGCGGTATCATTCGGGACCATTCGGGACAGTGCCCGGTCCAATACTTAGAGAATATTGGACCGGCAATAGAGCATTTTGATTGGTTGATTTTAGTTATTGGCCCTCTGACTGCCCGAGCCGTGTAATAACTATGCATTATTGACCAAGTGTGAGGTCAACAAGGCTGGATATTGGCAGAGTTCTCTTTTTGTGTTTTTGTGGACTTAGATGAAGTTGAGGTCCATAAATTGCAAAAAAAGAACAACGCTAATATCCAGCCACCTTGACTGAACAAGCTTGGTTGATAAAGGATGTATAATATAGCAAAAATATTTCGATTCATTAAGAATCAAGAAGGACTTGTTGAGCTGGGAAGGAAAGCCAACTGTGTTTGTAGCACAATAAACCTATGAGGGTTGTTTATGTTTTCTTTGTTTTTTACTGTCTTCTGCTGCTTTTTGCAACTTCATCAATGACCTTGTGAAAAAGCTATGAACTTTAAAACTTTGCTCCACACACTTTTTTCCTTGCCTAAGATCAAAATGGAGAATCCCAAGCAGACAAGATGGCTCGGGTAGCTGATCAGAACTAAGGATTCAGTTTATATTGCCCAAGGGCACTGCCAGCTATATAATAACAATACAATAACAAGCAGACAAGTGATGGAAATAAAGACAAATATCAATTAGGGCATCATTGGTTGATCCAACACTAATTTCTCATAACTAATATGATAAGAATTGTCTGGCCGGGAGTTAGGAGAAATACTTATGAGACATCAGGATTGACAGGGTTAGAATTCCCTTCCATTAAACTTGACACTCACTTTATTAATGTTGTTGATTATCCCCTCATCTGAAATCTGTATTGCAATGAAATAATTGGGCCCATTCTTTTCTTTAACAGACCTCGCATTAAGAGGCTCAGAAGCATTGGAAATTACTTCAACATTAGGAGCTGTTTCCTCTGTTACTTCCTCTTCATCAGAGTTTTGTGACGTGCTGATCCTCTCTTTGACATCCAGAATGGTCTCATTGCTTCCTGTAGATCCAAAGACTCTATCAATACGTTCCCGCTTGTCCCAAACAATTTCTCCATGGTACTTGAAATACTGAATTCTGTGACGAGGAATGGCAAGGTCAACAAAGTGATCCACAGAAGCCAGATTCTCCCATGAGAGATCTGTGAAGTCTTTCTCTACAATTCCAATAAATCTATCCAGGTAACCAACCACAAAATCTTTTGGTGAAAGCTCCTCATCCCATTGAATTCTGGAGATGACGTCACCCGCTGTTTTCATGGGAGGTTTCTTCTTGCTTCCGCTAACCTCTTTCTTTTCCAGATGCATATTTCCAGAGTTGTGGACAGACTTTGCTGCATCTTTTACCTTTTCAGCATCATTGGTGGAATCAGATCTGTCCTCAACATTTTGCGCACCACTTTTAACTTGCACACCTTCAACATGTTTATTAAAGCACTTGACTCCAAATCTACAATTCCCATCAAGAAAGAATTTGCAAATATTGGCTGTATCATCTAGAGAGTTTTTCTTGCCGTGTGAGGAAAGCATCAGTTGTTTAGACAATTCCATTTTCTTTAACCAGTTCTGAGATTCTTCAATGAGATTATAAATCATTACTTCACCACAGCTCTCCTGTGCAGTGTGGTACAACAGTGATTCCAGTTCTGTATAAGCTGGTTGACTATCCTGTGTAACACTGATGGAAGGTGCAACATTGGGGTAGTTCTCTGAAGGAACAACAAAGTCTTTTTAAGAAAATTAATAGAACTTTGCAACAATCGCAAGTTGTGCCTCTGAATTTCAGTACCTCACCAATGATACTTCACAGACGCAGATTTCTTTCATCAGGTAAATAAACTAAAAAAAAACTAAAGATTCACTTTTTTATCCTTAACACATCTTTGACCCTTAAGAGTGACTAAATTTCTCCCTTATCACTCCTGAATCACACATTAAAGTCACGAGAATAAATTGATTGTTACACAAATTAGAAATGTATAGAGAACAGTATAGAGAATAAGTACTACACTGATGTTATGGTGTAAGGAGTTAAGGAATCATGCTGTATCTCACTGCATAATATGCTTGATGATTCGTCCTGTAAATACAAAGCCATTTGTACACAAAATTAAGTAATGCTAGGTCCTCGAGGGAGGGTTTCCCTCCAAGAAAATTAGAATAAGGACTTGTGCAGCTACGTCACTTTTTATGCAAGTACTTGCAGCCGATGCAAACTTGCTAAGCAGGTGAGAAAAACTGAGACCACTCAGAGGACAGTCTTGAAAAAGAAGGACTCGAGTTTAAAGCGATCGTTGCGAAAATTATGAGAGTGTTCGTAAATACATGATAAATCTTTAATCTGGGAACTACAGAGGAAAAAAAATCTCACCTGGTAATGTAAAAATGATGGCTGTCTTATTATGTTGAAAGTTTACTTCATAAGACACAGGTTCATTCTCGTGCGATCTCTTCACTGTAACAATTTCCTCTCCGTAGATTGATTGAAGTGCTTCAGCCTCCATTTCGCGTTCTTCTGACGAGTACTCCATATTCTCGAGACGAGTGTTATCCCAGAAATTTAAAATTATTTTGAAACAGATCACAGAATTTTGGAAATTTATGATTTATCCTTTGAAACAATATTGCACTTTGTGGTGCAACTTCTTATGGCCGAGGGAAAACTGGACCCTTAATTTTAAAGTCAATCCCAGGTCTTCGCTCGTAACACTCTCCTACCCAAATTTATGTCACGATTTGCCGATGTAGCCAATCAGATCAAAGGATTCATTTCATCTTTCCCGCTCTAGGAGCCAGTCCTGTAGGGTTTTGGTTTATGACCGATATCTTGTTGCTGAGTCAGGCGATTTCCAAGCAAAGAGCAATTTTACTTCAGACACTTTTCAAATAACTTTTAACTAGTTATTATTTGTCCCAGTTTTAGTCCAATTGTTTTTTTATTTTTTAGAAATTTTCGGTTTACTTATACTTCCGAGGACCCCTCTGAAAACCACTTCAAAGTAATGGGGGTCCTCTCTTCGAATATTTATTTCGTTCTTATCATAAGATATTCTTTATTCCCATTTTGGAGCCAAATTTTACCTCAGGATCGGCCAAGAAATTATTTACCACCAGACTCGAAAAGGCTCTTTCTGCGCAGTGCAAATGGGCCACCGGCTGAAGGGAACTAGAAATGGTTGGACAAAGGGGACGAGAATGACTACGAAAGTAACGAAAAGAAACCGAAGATCACATCTTATTGGCTGTTCGATGGAAACATACGTTGGGAAAAACGAAAAAACGAGTGGAGTTGATATTGGTAAGATTTATTTTCAGAAAAAGACATTGAAGGCTACAGGTTATGGTAAGTACTGTCGTCATAATCAGCTACTGTTACCTTAAAATAATTTTATACTTTGTAAACAGTTTACTTAAGCCTGGGCACGACTTTCCGGCACTGACCAAACGAGCGGTATATCTCGTCTTAGTCGTAAAAGTACAGTGTCAATTATGACATCTGTGATAAGGACTGAAAAAAAAAAAAAAAATACATTCATGAATGAAAAAAAAATTACATGCAGCGAGATCAGTTTAAACATATTTGATTCCACTCAGGATTAGAAATGAAGTATATCAATTGAACAGCATACAATCAGAGCTGATCAAGATGAATTATTTTGCTGGAGCTACTTTCTAATTCGACCTCTTCCAAGTCAGCTGCCATATGTTGTAGTTGTATCGTCGAGTGAACCCTGATCTCGGTTCAGAAAATTGGGAATCGAGTGAAACGGAGGGATGAATATAATGTTTTCTTTTTTAATCACTGGAAGGGATATAAGAAGAGATGCATAGATACTTACTTAAATTTTGGTTGTTCCATCTCAGTGCATGTATTTCGGTTTTGTACGTCTATTTTCAATTATTGATGATGGATCTAAGCGTGAAAAACTGAAACAATCTCTATCTTGTTCTACAGTGGCTTTAGGGCTCAAAATTCATTGCCTTTGATCTATTGGATTTTCTTCCCGTGTGGTCGATCACTGTAGAATTGAGACTTCCGTCTCTGAAAGGTAAGCTATTTGTGCGTGATGTGATGATTGCCTCTTCATGAGCCTTTCATTTTCCAGTGAGTATCATTTGCATGATATCTATCGGAACCAAATAACATGATAATAAAGATCTTAAATAAGGGAAAGCAGATGCTTTTGATAAGTATTATACTTTACCAATGACGGTATAACCAGGTATTTGTTCTCCTTCGAGGCGGAAATCAGTTATGGTCTGTTATCTATATGAGCGACTACAGCTATTTTACAGCTTATGCACTATTTATTTATCAGAGGCTGGGGTGGGTAGTACGTACGGTACAAATGCCAAGATGACTGATGCTATATTAAAATTGGAATAAAAGAATTTAACTCGTACAGCAAGAAATCCGAAACTGCAAGCAAACGGGGGGTTGTGAAACGCCTGACATGGATTAATTGGTGAAACTAATTTGCATTCAGTTGCTATAATGTCTAAAATGTACCTTTCGGATTGACTAGTTCGCTGGATACTTATCATCAAAGCCTACTGTAAAGCTAGCAATAAGCGTCTACAGCAGCCGTTTTTCCTCTAAGCGGCCGAGGAAAGTTTCAATTTTCATCTCTTTTAAATACACCTACAAAGTATTGATGCCCATATAAAGTATTGATGCCCATATAAAGTATTGATGCCCATATAAAGTATTGATGCCCATATAAAGTATTGATGCCTATATAAAGTATTGATGCCCATATAAAGTATTGATGCCCATATAAAGTATTGATGCCCATATCAAGTATTGATGCCCATAGACGCCAGGAACTCATGTCGACCTCACCAGCGCAGAGGTCATGTGGAAATGAGCTCGAAGCGACATTTGACTCAGAATGCACCTTGATCACAGGCCGTGCACCATCTGGTTTGGAATCCTAGGCATACCTGTCAGAAATTCTGACCATTGACTCAAATAAAACTCTGGCCAGTGGTGAGGGAGACCAAAGTCATGGTTCTCGTTGACTTAATTTACAACCTGCAAGGCTAGCGATTATTAATCTTTAAATTGTACAAGTTATTTATCTTTGATTAATTATGTTTTCAAACCTTATTTTTTTTCGCCAACACCGAAGAGGACGAAAATGGTCAGCACAGAAGAAGTTCAGAACACAGTATGCATAGGTTTAGTAGTCGCCGTCTTCCTTCTTAACTCTGGTCGTGTGTCACAATCCATCAAATTTTGCAAGGAATGTTTAAAGGTGCTGAACAGTCAGGTGCTAATTAAGGTGGCCACCTCAATTTTACGTACTCTCTACAGCACACTGACAAAAGCGTACGATGCTATGAACGATAAAACGAGTAAAGAAAAATGGCTCAGGAAACTCCATCTCCTCTGTGAAGACTGTGATGGCAGTGTTAAAAGAGGAAGGTTAATTCTAGAATTAGCAGAAAAACTTCACACTCAAAATAAGCTTTTTGAGGCCAGAGCATTTTACGAGTTAGCAGTTAAAATCATGGAAACGAATAGCGACGCAAATGGAGAAGCTCAGTGTTACAGAAACCTGGGGGTACTACTTTACTCTTTAAGAGAACACCACAATTATAGAAAACATCTTGAGAAATCAGTTTCGCTTTATATAAAAATTGGGGACAGGCAGGGAGAGGCGAAAAATTATGGAGACCTGGCAGCATTTTTCCAATCGCTTGGTATATATGAAAAGGCCCGAGAGTATCAGGAGAAAGCACTCGCTATCCAAATAGAAATTGGCGATAAAGAAGGAGAAGCAGCAAGCTACGGAAACCTAGGAACATTGTT